AAACGGTCGGACCATACTTCAGTTATCTCAAGTATCAATTTGGTACGGCGTGTGCGGCCGAGGGGACTCCCAGAACAGCCCGGCCTCCATCCTGCGCGGCGCCGAGAGCCCGCTGCGCCTGCCCCTCGGCCAGCCCGGCCCAGCTGGCGCCGCAGCAGGTGGGCGCGCCGGCCGCTGATGCCCAAGCATGCTCGTTAAAGCGCCAGTTCCACCATGCGCGCCTTGGCAAGACAAGGACGTGCCATCGTTATTTGTCTCACGGCCCCAATGTTACGGCGACGCTGCCGGACAGCCGCCTCCGCGCTTGTCGTGGCGGTGTTCAGGGTGACCTCTTCGCGCGTGGCTCAGACATGAAGACCGCCAGTTTTTCGAGCGCGTAGATGCAACCCCTCCGCGCTCAAAACCTGGATGACGAACAAGCTCAAGCGCGTCTCTGACTAGTTCCGCTTCGCCCCGCACAAATCGCTGCGCTTGTCGAATGCGCGCAAGACCTGCACGGACAGCCAGGGGTGGGATTTCCAGAGAGCATCGTCCAGGTAACGCACTTCCAGGAGCTTCGCGTGAGCAGGAAGGGCGTTCGCAGGGTGAGCCCGCCGCTGCACGCCACGGCCATCACGTAATTGAGGGTCGGCGCCGCTGTCTGCGATCAATTGGGGCATTTTCGCGTTTTGCTCCCTCCGCGCGATGCGGGCCGCATAGCCCGCAACGAACTGGCCTCCATTGGAGTGTCGACGTCGCCCGGACATGCCCCGTCCCAAACTCACTCTGGTGCGACTGGTGGCCGACCATTTGGGCCATGGCCGCCAGCTCGGCGTGCTTCCATCGAGCGAAATGTTCGCACGAACTTGCAGAAGAAGTGCAAACGGCCTGCGCACCACCCTTTATCGCAGTATCGAGCTGCCTCGGGCCGGCCGTCGCTGCAAGAGGCCCGGGTTCGGCTGGTTGGGCCGTACGTCCTGCGCCCCCCCCCGCCACTGGCAGGGTTCGGAGGGACACGACATCTGTCGCGAGTTCGTCTGAATCTGTTGAAGCGTGACCGAGCCGAGCGAGCTCTAATTAGCACAAATTACCCTATGCGGTGAGCAATGGGCCTACCGCGTCAGAGGCGAAGTCAGCCGCCTCCTCGCCCAGGGTCTCGTTCCGAGACTTCCCCAGCAATGCAGGGCAATGGCGAACAGAAAACATTTCGATATAGGTTTTAGATAGGTTCAAAAGTAGGTTAGGGAGATAGGTTCGCAAGCATATTAGGTTCCAGGAAGAAGGTGCAACGCGCGGGGAAAACGCGTCATCGGGCAGATAGCCCCCCGTTACTGGGTTTGCCAAAGCGCGTCGGCGCAAATGCCGCGGGCAACTAAGTTGGCGAAGCGAATTCGCCAAACTAGCCCTGGCGAGTGCACCCGGGGACGTTCCCTGGCCGCGGTAACCTCGCCAAGAAGGTTTGCAATGGAAAGGGCGTCAGGGCTGCATTTCAGGCAGGGGCCGCGACACTTTTCGCGCGATGCACCCTCGGGCACTAAAAATAAAAAATTAACGAGAGCGGCTGCGGAGAAGACCTCCGCAAACACGACGCGCCAGAAAAGCAGTCGCGACGATGGGTGACCCAAAAATCAACTGGGGCAGCCCCAGCAACTGGCACGGCGAACAACGCAATTCAAGGAATCCTGGACAAGCCGGGCCGCCACCAACAATCACCACCCCAGCACAACCCCCATGCCGATGCCGTGTCCCGGCGGGGCTCGGACACGCCATGGCTCCTCCTCATTATCACGGCCGCCCCGCCCAAGGTCATTCTGCCCTCCCCAAAGCCACTCGTCATCGAACACACATCATGCTTCCCATCATCGCCCCCCTTGCCTCACCATCCTCTCCCTCATCAGCCGCAGCATCCATGTTCTCATCCTCCTGCCCCCGATCCTCCCCGCCCTCCCCGTCCCCCCCTCCTCCTCCTCCTCCTCCTCCTCCTCCTCCTCCTCCTCCTCCTCCTCATCTTGTTCCTACCTTTTCTCCCTCATCCCCCCTTCATCCGCCCCTCATCCTCCACCCGATCCTCCGGATCCTCTTGGTCCTCCTCCTCCTACTCATCTCTCCTGTTCCTCCTTCCTCCTGGCCCTCCGTTTCCTCGACCTGGCTCTCCTCCCCCTCCTCCTCCTCTTCTTCCTCCTCCACATCCTCCTCCCGGCTCTCCTCATCCACCTCCTCCCTCCTCCTCCATTCCGCTTCCTCCTCATCCTCCTCCCCCACATTCTCCTCCACCTCCTCCTCCTCCTACCTTCAATCCCTGACCCTCCATGCTTCCGAAAACAGTTTGAAGTAGGTTTGAAATAGGTTTGAAGTAGGCTTGAAGTAAGTTTGAAGTAGGTTTGAAGTAGGTTTGGAGTAGGTTTGAAGTAGGTTTGAAGTAGGTTTGAAGTAGGTTTGAAGTAGGTTTGAAACCTACTTTGGGGCCTCCGAAACCTACTTTGAGGCTCCAAAAACCTATGTTGAGGCCTCTGAAACCTACTTTGCGCTACCGAAAACCTACTTTTGGAATCCGGAAACCTTCTTTGGAACCTACTTTGCAAAAACAAATTCTGCAAACCTACTTTCCGACCTACTTTGGGGGCGCGGTTCCTTGAAACATCAGCACACGCTTGCCCGAGCCTTTCCCAGAAGTCGCCCCCGGGGGCGGCGCGCCAAAAAAGGAATCTGCGAAGTAACCCCAGAAGGTGAGCAAACCCAAAACACTTGTAGGTTGCCCCCGACAGGCGGGAGCCCCCCAAAGGGGGCGGTCTCCCCCCCCCCCCCGAGGGTCGAGGATCGAGCGCGATTTCGCTGTCGGGCGACAAGCGAACGTACCGCGACAGGACAGGGCCTTTTGGCAGCCCCCCCGCTGGCGGGCAGGGGGCCGCCGCCTGGCGCCCTAGGTTCTTCAGAAACCAAACCTGATGCGGCCGCCCCCCGCCCCCCGGGGCCCCTCCGGGCCCGGCCCGACGGAGGCGCCACTCCCCTTCCGTTTCTCTTTCCTCCTCCCACCGCTCTCCACCTCCTCTCCTCTTTCACGCGTCCTCATTATTCCAGCCCCCCTCCACCTCCTCCCCCCGGAAACGCCACCTCCCCCCTACCCGCCTTCTGGAGCCCCCCACCCTCCCGTTTCTGACCTTCTTAACCTTCCTGGTCCTCCCTCTCGCCCCCCCCCCTCTCCCTTGCTCGGGCCCGCGGCCCTCGCCCCGCCCTCCACGCCCCACTTCCCGTCGTGGTCAGACCACAGGGGGAAACGCAATGCCCCCAGATCTCAGGACGGAGGTGGTTTAGAGCGCTTCCTGTTCCAACAACCCCCAGTCTTCCCTTCGGGGATGGATGCACCCCTCCCCCCCCCCTCCTTCCGGGGTCTGCAATGGGGGGCGGCGGGTCGCTGGAGCGCCCGAGACGGTCAAAGATAGAGCCGGCATGACCTCGCAGAATGCAACGCGGTCTCACATATGGTTCAAGATAGCCCAAGATGGATCGACATTGTTTCCCGCATGCTCCAAGAAACCCAAATACCGCTCCGAGACCGCCCCAAGCGGCCGCGGAGCCACCCAATAACACCCCCGAGAAGCCGAAATCTTTCCAAATCGCACGAGACACGAATGAATTGGGCCTTTTGGCCCATGTGCTTCCGAAGACTTTGGAAGCCTGAAGATAAGCCCCGAAGGAGTCCAGAAGAACCCAAGACAGCGCACTTCACGAATTACTCGGCTGGCTTGCTAGCAGAAGCCGCGCCTTGCCGGCGGCATTCCAGCATTTCCCCGAGAAGCTTGTTTGGAAAATATCATTACTGACCCGATCCCGACAAGTTACTTTTGATATTGTGTTCCCGACAACCTTCCCTGGAAAGCTACTTTTGCACATGAATGTCGCATTCCTTTCCCCTGAAAGTTTCTCGCGGCAATCGGTTTCGCCATCCTTTCCCTTCGAGTTACCTGCGCCGACCACTGTTGCCAGGCGCGCTGCAGACATACTTCGCCGACCTACTTCAGGAGCTACTCTAAACCTACTTCATTTGTTTTGCGCCTCAAACAAGCCCTGCATTCAAAGGGAAGTCTCGGGTCTCGTTCATCAGGGCCATTCTCGCATGTCCTCGCTGAAACGCTGATGCTGGACAGAATGTGTTCAAGATAGTTCGCACTTCTCATTTTGACCCCATGTTGTTCTCGCACGGGCTGCGCTAAGAGCGGCAACTCATCATTGTTGGGCGTCCGTCTTAAACGCTGTTGCTACCCAGTCATATACCACGCGCTGATCCCGCTGATGCAGTCGATGGTGCTGGGCTTCAACTTAGCTTCCAATATCAGTGCTGCTTGCCCTTCTCGCGCGTACTGGTCCTGGTGTAATATCTAGGCACGCCGAGGGCAGCTACTCCGTGTGGCAGCTGAATAGAAGCCTTCCACAATAGTCACTTGTAGCGGGCCGCTTTGCCCTGTTGCTCGAAATCCTCAATCGAATTCATCATAGTAAGCATGTCGCTGGCCGGCGCGTCTTTAAGGGCACACTAGAATCACGCCGATGCGAGAAATCGAAGGGCAGCTGCTCGGCAAAGCAATGCCGCACGATCTTGGCACTCGAGATAGTAGCGTACTGGGAGCAGCCAAGCAGACCCCTGGCCAGAGAGCACCGGGAGCGCGCCCAAGAACGGCGAACGACACGGGGGAGAAATCGGTGACTCGCATGCGTTTTCGAATAATGCGTAACTGTGCCCAAACGTCACAATTCAGTGGGAACGATCACACATCCCGTCGCTCACCAACGAAAGCATCGCAACACAAGAGGCGACCTCTGTTTGGCCTCGCGCTGGAAAGGCTTACACAATCACGGATGCTAACCCTTTCTTCTCCTTCCTTGTCTTGGTTCGTCCCGCTGTAAGATCATTTTCCTCCCCCTGCTCCGAAGTAAGCGCCTGCCTCTTCCTCTGTCCCCCTCGTCCTTCTTTCTCCTCCCTGCGCCCTCTCTCCTGCGCCTCCCCTACCCGCCCTCCACCCATCCTCGCGGTCGTTCATCTGCACGCCTTGGCGCTTCAGCTGATCCCTAATGGCGTCGGCATCCGCCCAATTCTTGTCAAGCCTTTATGCGGAGAGGGAGAAACATAGAGAGAGAGAGAAAGAGAGAGAGAGAGACATACATATACATGTATATTCAGAAAGAAGAAGGGACAGAGAGAGAGAGGAGAGAGAGAGAGAGAGAAACAAACAAAAACAAACAAACAACACACGAGAGAGGCAGAACGAGACACAGATGGCGGGGGGGGGAGGAGGCGAGGCGAACGATCGAGGACAGAGTAGCGGGAGGGCGCAGGGCCGATATGGGGACAAGGCGAACGGGAAAGAACCAGGTTGAAAAGCGAGAGCGCCGCCTGGAAGCCTGATACCTGCGCGCAGGCTTGTCATTCAAGACTGGTGCCTTCGCACCCATCTCCGCCTCCTCCTCTTCCTCCTCCGCCTCTTCCTCCCTTTTCTCAATGTTTGTCATACCTCATACCTCCTCCTCCTCCTCCCTCCTCCTCCCTATTCCCTCCTGTTTCTCCTCCTCCGCCTCCTCCTCTCTTTTCCTCCCTATTCCCCCCTTCTTTTCCTCCTCCTCCTCCGCCTCCTACTCCTCCTCCTCCTCCTCCTCCTCCTCCTCCTCCTCCTCCTCCTCCTCCTCCTCTTTCTCCTCCTCCTCCTCCTCCTCCTCCTCCTCGCACGTCGCCTCCTCCTCCTTTCCACTTCCTTCTCGTCCTCCTCCCCATCACTCCCTTCCAAGCAGGCGATGGGAATTGCGGGCCGAGCGGCGACGCTGGCCTCGCGCGCTCCCGCTTGAGCACCAGGTCCATCACCTCGGAGGAAGGGGGAGGAGAGGGGGACGGAAAGGGAGGAGGAGGAGGAGGAAAAGGCGGAGGAGGAGGGAGGACGAGGAGGAAGAGGAGGAGGCGAGGGGCAATACACTCTCCTGTCACACTCCCCCTCTTTCAATATGATTTCTCGCTGCGCCGTCCCATTAGTACTGGAGGACACCTACCAATTTGGTGCAAACCCCACCAGCCCTCCGGGTGGAGGCGTTCTAAGGCGGCTCCTCCTCCAAGCCCCTTCTTTCCCTCCCCCTTCCCCCTGGGTCTAGACGGCGTAGTTCGCGACAGAATAGAATGTCCAGAGTTGCTCAATATGGCTCCTAGGAGGCTTCCAGTAGCCTACGATGGCCTCCGATGTGGGTCAATAGATTCAAAGGTTGCCCAATGAAACTTCTAACACCTCCCCAAGATGGCCCCAAGTGGCCACGGAACACCTAAGGGAACACACATGGCTTTCACTTTCTCGTTTTTGTTCGCGTGGGGCTTCTGCGGCATCTAGACGGCCTCATGGTGATCCAACAGGGGCCCAAGAGGGGCTAAATATGGCCCCAATCCGGCCCCGAGGGCGCCGAAGGGAGCACCCAAAGTGCCCCAAGAGGGCTCCAAGAAGCGACCTTGAAGCGCCACTGGGGGGACCTCTTCATGGTACCCCCCTCATTTGATCGATGCCGTCCAACATGGCCCAAGGAAGGCTCGAAATACACTCAAGAAGGCTCCAATCTATCCCCAACAAGGCCCCGGCATATAGCAGCTTGAATGGCTACGGATTGAGGCGGAGGAGGGGGGGAGAGGAGGATGACAGAAGAGGACGTGGAGCAGGAAGAGGAGGATCAGTAGGATAAGATGGAGGACTCGTGACTCTGGCCTCTGCGCTGGGGGGCGCGGCGCCAGTGTCGCTGCGATCGCGGCCTCGCGCGCACCGACGAGGCGGCGAAAGTGTACCCGACGAACCTGGATGCGCGCGCGGCCGGCCCCTCAGAACATGGGGCAGGGATCCAAAACAGATCAACCGTGCCGTAAGCCTACCTGGGTATGGGCAGCGAGGGTGGAGAGCAACCAGGTCGGCAGGGTCAGTCCAGCAGGACGGCAACGACAAGAGAACAGGTAAGGGCGAGGGGGAAAATACAGGCAGCCAGCGGCGTGGGGACAAGGGAAGCAGTGCCCAGCCAAGGACAAGGCAGGACGCAGTGCGAAGAGCCGCGTGCGGTGTCAAGCGGTGGCAAGGCAAGGCGGGAAAAGCCCCGCAGGCGCATGGATGCCCCAGTAAAGGGAGAGGCAGCGACCCAACACACACACACACCACACACACACAGACGCACACACACACACACACACACACACACACACACACACACACACACACACACACACACACACACACACGCACGCACGCACGCACGCACGCACGCACGCACGCACGCACACACCCACACACACACACACACGCACACACACACACACACACGGGCACACCACGCACGAACGCACGCACGAACGATGTCCCAGAACCCCCCCTGGGTGAATAGGGGCTGCGAAGACAGATCAGCTAGTCTCATCAGCTGCTGCGCAACGTAGCCCAGCAGCGGGCGCGCGTTCTCTCTGCCCCCCCCGTTCCCCCCGCCTCCCCGCCACTCCCCGCTAATGCAGCGCGGTGCAGCAATTCACTGGCCCAACGGGCCAGAGGCGTGCTAAGATCTCCGGTAGCAGGTGGTAGCAGATGTAAGAGACTTATAGTTCGCGCGCGCGCGTGCAAAACCCTGGGGGTCGCCGGGCGAAAAATACCCAGGCCGATCTCCAGCAAGGTCGGATCAGAGATGGTTCTGCTGGGCGCCGCCCCCCGGGCTCCCCAGAGAGTCCTAGGAAGGGCGAAGAGGCCCCCAAGAGGTCCCCAAGAAGGTCAAAGAGTGCTCCGAGACGCCACAAGACCGCTCCAGAACGCACAACACGGCCCCCAGGCAGCCCAAGAGGCCTCCAAGACGCCGAGAACGCTCCAAGAGGCAACCATGATCGACCCACGAAAACCCCCAAAAGGATATTGAAACGTGAAACATGGAGATTCTTCGAGACACCAAGCACTTGCAACGCTCAAGGCAAGGCTGGTGATGTACGGTGCCAGAGGATGTGTTGTGCTGTGTCGTGGTGACTTAAAAATCTGCAATGCCGCATGGACCTGTGCTGTGCTCTATTGCGCTGTGGATCAGGTCGTTCTTGGCATCATCATCCTGACCGAACTGATCTTGATCTTAAGTTCGAACTGCCTGGACGCATGTCTCGAGCTGGTCGCAATCGGACTGCGCGGGGCGCTCGACCAGCTCGAGCTCGAGGTCTGATTCAGCTCCGTAACGGGACGGGCTAAGAGGGGGCGACTCAGAAACGACGCGAAACGCACCGAGAGTGGACGGACCGAAGCTTGGCGAACCAAAATGCCACGAACTGCATCAAGACTAACCGAAACAATACGAACCGAGACGAAGGCCAAACCGACCCGAATCGAAGCGAGACAAGACAAACCAAGACGAATACGCTTCGGCTCAACATCCTGAAACTGCATGGCGTCGCCTAACGAGGCAGCCGCACTCCGAGGTGCCAGGGCCCCTCGCAAATGAACAAGGCCGCGACTGGGCGTACATTGTTATTGATACGTGCTGTGCTGCACTGTGCTGCGTCATGCTATGCTGAACTGTGCTGTTCTCTGTTGCGTTGTCGATCAAACCATCCTTGGTACCCCATTCCTGTCCGAACTGATCTGGACGTTAAGCTCAAGCTGCCTACGCGCATGGTTCGCCCAAAGCTGGCTGCAATCGTAACATGCGGGGCGTTCAACCAGCTAAAACTCAAGACCTGTTTCAGCTCCGAAGTGGGACGAACCGATCGGGAGGGGGGGGGCGAATCCGAACAGAAACGAAACGCACCCAGGCGACAACGAAGCTCCCACACGACACCCTCTCAAACAAATGCAAAACCCGCATTTCGCGAGAGGCATTATCAACACATCCTGCAGAGGGAGGCCGTCGCTGCAGGCGAGGCCCTCGCTCGAGACATCCTCAACACATCCTGCAGAACGAGCGCTTCGCTCTAGACACCCCCAATACATTCTCATGTTAGTGATTCGCCTGGGCGACCTGGACACGTGAAAACCAAAAGGTTCGCTTGAGACATCATCACCACATCCTCATCTACGCCTGGATGACCTGGAAATATCGTGAGAGCATTTGGGTCCCGTTCGATTCAGAGCGGAGCAAGCGTGAAAGCCCGTGGGTCCATTGCGCCCCACGGCGGAACAACAATGAAAACACGTGGCCCCCTTTCGCCCCAAAGCGGAACAAGCGTGACAACACGTGGGTCTCTGTCGCCCCAAAACGGAACAAACGTGAAAAAGCGTGGGCCTTCGCCCCAGAACCGAGCAAACGTGAAAACACGTGGGTCTTGTATCGCCCCAAAGCGGAACAAACGTGAAAATACGTGGGCCCATTTCGCGCCAGAGCGGGACCAACATAAAAACACGTGGGTCCCTGTCGTACCAGAGCGGAACAAGCGTGAAAGCACGTGGGTCCCTTTCGCGCCGAGGCAAAATAAACGTGAAAGCACATGGGTCCCTTTCGCGACAGCAAAACAAACATGAAAACACGTGGGTCTCTTCCCCGCCAGAGCGGAACACAAAAACAAGAAAACCAGCTTTTCGCCCATTCTCAACACTCCCTCATGCTAAACATCCGCGTAGGCGACCTGGACACGTGAACGCAAGCGTCTCGCTCGAGACATGCTCGACACATTTGCATGTTATACATCCGCCTGGGCGACCTGGGCAATTGGAGACGAGCATTTAGTTCAAGACGTTCTCAACACATCCTCATGCTAGACATCCGCTTGGACCGCTTGGACCTGGACACGCGAAACCAAGCGCTTCGCTCGAGACATTCTCAACACATCCTCATGCTAGACATCTGCCTGGGCGACCAAACATCCTCATCAAATCCTTATGCTAGACATTTGCCTGGGCGATCTGGACGCGTGAAACCAAGCGTTTCTTTCGAGACATCCTCATGACCTGGGCGCGTGAAAACCAATATTTCACCTGAGACATCCTCTGAATTCTAATCCCCAAGAGAGGAAGAATACATACCACAAAACAAGCGTTTCGCTCGAGACATCCGCAATAAACGAATGTGTGTTGTTTACCATGTGTTTTCTGTATCGGAATTTCACAGACCAGCGCTTCGTTCGGGACATCATCAACTTTTGAATTTGCCGGCCCTGCGCGACCGCAGTATTTATCGCCGAATAATTTCGCGGCCCTACGCAAGTCGAAGCCCGGCACTCCGTAAACGAACTAATAGAAAAAACACTGGGCCTGCGCCCTTTCCGGGAAAATCACAGCTTCCTTTTGGTATTTGAACAATTTTTGCATTCTCGCCATTTCAGCTTCCCGAAGATCCAAGACGGCACAAAAGGCCTCCAATATCGCCCCAAGACGGCTCGAGTTGTTGTACGGGTTCCGTCGGGGCTCCGCCCCAGGCCCAAGACGAGCGCGCATGCCTCGCAGCGCGGCCGCGCCGGAGAAGCCCCCGCGGGCAATGGGGCGCTCCACCGGCCAGCGAGCCGCAGCCCCTGACCCAGGCCGGAGGAAAACAAGCCTCCGATGGCCGCGCCCAGCCGCCTTCGCGGGCGGGCGCGCGCAAGGCGGCGGCGCTGCAATGCGCGGAAGAGACAAGAACAACGGGAGCGGAGGAGGAACGCCGCGCCCGTTAGCGCCGCAGGAGGTCGGATACGGCCGAGGCGCGCCCAACTAAGCGCCGCCCTCTGCCCTTGATGACTTGGAGAGTGAAGCAGCAGTCCTGCCTCCCTGCGCGGCGACGGCTGTTGGATGAAGAAAAGGTGTGATCGGCGGCAACAGCGCAGGCATGCACGCGTTCAGAAGCTCTGGGACACGGCGGGGATGATGGCCAGAGGTGCGGCAGACAACAAAAAGGAGCCCAGTATCCCCATTCAGGAGGCAGCGAAGGCAACAATTGTCGAATGGCTGGGGGGCTGGGGTGGAGACGGGGCAGGTGAAATAGCGCGTAATATTCTGCCCCGAGATTACAGCGTCCACTCGCACAGGAACCAATGGCTTGCCTAAATATTCTCGTCGCCGGCCAGGCATTGAACGCGGTTTCAATGAAGGAAGTGAGGATGAAACTAGGAAGCCTTCTGCTCAGAACGTTACATCGAAAAACAACAAGATCAGCATCGGCATGGGTAGCACTGGGGATCCAAGATTAAATGCGGGCCTGAACAAGTTAACTAGCATATGCAAGAGGACGGTTTTGAACAAGAAACTTGGTGATGTTGTGCTGGTATGGGCCTTCTTCATGTTCCAGAAGATGGACTGTCCGAAGAAATCATTGGGCTGGCATGCTGGCACACGTTCGCCATCTTCCAGCGAGGCTTGAAAGCTCCTTTGCTCTGGCGAACTGATCGGAACGAATAGCGGCTCTAAGCATCGATGCTCTGCGCAAGATTTCCACGGAATGACGCTGGAGAGAAAGACCCACATGTTTCAGGTGGAACATACTTTTGAAAAGAAAGGCATGGCGAGGATAACGGGAAAGACGTTGATATGCTTCCCTCTCGCACCGCAGCAGCGCCGGGGAGGGCGGGTAAAACTGGCCAACATGGGAGATGACGGGCAGCGCGTGCGCGTTGTGCCCCTGGATGGACTGGATGAAACTAAGACCTAGCTTCCTAACGTTCTCGGCCCTCGTCCTGAGTTTGGCGGAAACGTCGAACCAGGCCTCAAAGAGGACGTCGTGCCCGACAAGGATCCCATGGAGCTTCCCAAACTTCCGAATCTGATAGCTGGACACATCGAGACCGTGGGCGCCGAAAACTTCCTGGATCCTCCTGGTCCCCTCTAGGTGTAACATGAATAATGCACACTTGCTGTCGTCGGGGATGAGCACCGCAATCGCCGAGGTCTCGACCATCGTCCAAACATCTCTCAGGAAAACCTGAAAACGATCTCTGGCGACCAGGTAAATGTCGCCAGCGAAGGCTCCGATCTCAAAGTCGAGCGCTGGCTTGAGCCGCGCGGGGTAGCGAAGAAGCGGGTCGGCCACAGGCGCGAACATACCTTCGCTCGAGGGACACCCCTGCTTCATCCCCAGCCTGGCCCAATTCCCATGTTTTCAAAAGCCACCGATGGTAAACGCCGCCCACGCCCCGTCGCATAAGGAGGCAATGGCAAAGACTACATGAGCACGGGGCCCCTTCGAGCTCGATGTTTTCATGATCCAGGCCTGGCATGCACACGGGAACGCCCTCTTAATGTCGAAGAGCGCGAAGCCACAGCGCGGTTCCTTAAATTCCGCCCCACAAGGTTAGCGCCCCATCCATGGTAATAATGTTGTCACCCATCCTCCCCCGAACGAACCTCCGCTGCCTTTCGCGACATCTATCGGAGGCGACCCCATTCAGAACGGGGATGGAGGAGGAAGAGGACGAGGACGAAGGGGGAAACGACCGCCGCGCAGAACGCGCGGCGAGAGCGCACGGGGCGAGGACGCGGCCACGGGGCGCGGGCCACCATGCCCCGCCACGCCGCGCATAGAGGGGGGCAGGGCGGATGAGGAACAGGACGGAGGGGGGGGGGGTCAGAATGCGGCGGGCTGGCGCCAACATGCAAGAGGAAAGGGAGGAGGCAAAGGCAGCGGCAGGCAAGCGCGCGCGCTGGGGGCGAGCGGGGGGCGGGGGGGGGCGGGGGGCTGCGGCGGCGGTCGGGGGTTCGTCGGGGGTCGTCGTGGGTCGGGGGGCGTCGGGGTCGTCGTGGGCGCGGGGGTCCGGTGGCCGCCGTGGCAGGGCCCGCCGGGCGTCGGGCGGGGCAAGCGGGGTCTAGGTGGTCGTCGCGGTTCGTCGCGGCACCGGGGGTTGTCGCGGGTCGCGGGGGCGGGCGGCGGGACGACGTGGGCCAGGAGACGATCGTCAGGGGGGGGAGGGGGGTGCCGGGGGGCCAGCCGGCCGCTGCGAGGCGCGCGGCCGCCGCCCCCGCCGACGGCTGCAGCCGCCGCAGCACCGCCCGCGTATTCTCCCGATGCAGGGAGATTGAGGGTCGCTGGCCGCGCCAATCCGCTACTGCGGCGGCCTCCTCCCCAGTGGCGTCAGCCACCCGCTTGGCCAGCGTCGCGAAGGCTCTCCTGGCCTCGCGCCCCCATCCGCCACCGTGGGCCTGCACCGCCCCGGGTATGAAGGTTATGCTCTGCGCCGCGCACTGGCGCTCGGTTCCCTGGCGCAGCCGCTCGAGCTCCTCGCGGCGCTCCGTGACCGTTCTGGGGGGCGCGGCGGAGGCGGGGGGAGGTCGGCGCGAAGCCCGGAAGTGGCGGCGAAGTCCCAGGCCGCTGGCGCCCCGTTGCGCCACCTGGGCAGGTGGACGTCGGCGGGGCGGCGGTCGCCAGCGTCCAAGTCCTGCCCGCCCAGCTCGCCGCCCGGCGGCCCCTCGTTGGCGGCGCGCGGTGGAAGGGGCCCCGGCCGCTCTAGCTCTGCCGCCTCGAGGCCGGCCGCCTGCGCGTCGAAGAACCCTTGTTTCCGGAGCGCGCTGCGCCACTTTGTCCTGCCCCCTCGACAGGAGCAGGCAGCGGCGCGGTCTGGCCAGACGCCCACCATCTCTCCGCGCGCGGGGCAGAAGACCTCGCGGTCGAGGAGCTGGGCTCGGAGCCGCCGTCGCTGGACAGCCGCGCGGCGGAGGCCGCGCCGGAGGCGGGCGCCCGCAGCCTCGCAGGGTGGCGTCTGGAGGCAGGCGCCAGCGCCAGGCGCCTGGCAGTTGCGCCCGGGTGGCGACCGAGGCGCCAGTCCGGAGGCTCGCGAGCGCTGCGTCGTCGATCGCTGAGCGTCTGCTGGTTGCCGTGCTGCTCCAGGTCGAAGGCCGCCCTAGGTCTGAGACGAAGGGGTTGCGGGCCTGCACTGCGATCGCAAGAGCGCCCCCGTCGCGCCCTGCCTCGTCGCCGTGGCCCGGGCGGAGCTGCCTGCAGAGCGCGGGGGCAGGCGGCTAGGGGGGCCGCGTGGGCGGCGACCGCGCGCTGCTCGCCTGGGCGCAGGCCGGGCCCCCCCTTGCGCAGCTTGAGTTGCGCCTGCCGCCAAGGCGCGTTGGCGAGCGAGCAGCCGACCACCTGCTCGCGGCAGGCCCTCGCCCTGTCGCCCAGCCCTGCATGGCCGCCGCGCGCGCGGCGGGTGGCGCCGCCCGCGCGCTGTAGCCTGGTGCACGCTGGCGCTGGAGGCGCAGGCCGACCTGCATGCGCGCCCCGCGCTGCCCCCAGCGTGCCCGCCAGCTCCTGCGCCGCAGAGACCCAGTTCATCGCGCGCTGGCAGCAGAAGTCGTCGTCGCCGACAGGCGCCCCGGGACGTTCGAAACTCCCGCCCGCGCGGAGGCGGAAGCCCCGCGGGAAGGCGTCGATGTCTACTGCGCTGTCAGAGCCGCCGGCAGGGACCACCTCGCGCTTCCCAGGCCCGGTCCGAGCGCAAGTCACATCGCGGCGAGGGCAGCGACCAGCACGCAGAGGAGGCGCGCCGCGGCGCGCCAGTCGCCCGCCAGGGCCCCGTCGCCTTGGAAATAACACCTCGAGGTCGGCCCGGGGGCGCAGGTTGGGCAAGGCCGGGGGCGGCGAGGAGGGCCTGTCCCGCGCGCCGCTGCTCCGCTGCTCGAGAGGCCCCCAGGAGGGCCCGGAGACAACCCTGGAGGGAGGAGGGAGAGGGGGGCAGGAGGAGGGGGAGGAGGAAGAGGTGGGGGAATATGATGATGAGGAGGAGGAGGAGGAGGAAAAGGAAGAGCAACAGCAGCAGGAAAACAAACCGCCGCCAGCCTGAGAAATCCACCGCCGCCCCCGCAGCGCCGCAGGCGCAACGAACGCGCGGGCAAATTCCAGCGATGCTGCATGAAGGGGCCGGCGGAAGGAGCGAAGCGATTCAATGGAGAAACGGAGTGCGTTGCACTGGCGCGCGCGTGCAGGCCGGCCACAATGTTGCACGTGGGTATCTGACGAGCCCTGCTGGAGTCGTTGCCTCAGGGCACGGGGCGCCTTGGCCGTCAACATGTTAACATGGGGCGCAGCCGTCTGACTGGGGCGCCGGGCAAGGTCGGGCGGCCCTCAGGTCGCTCATCGAATTTGGGGCGGAGGGCCCAGGCAGCTGCCGCGCTTGGCGACGCACTGCAGATCGGGGCAACTGCCGCACGCCGCGGCGCGCTGCAGATTCGCAGGCCATCCACCCCCGGACAGGGAAAATTAAGATGGCGACGCTTCGGACGCAGTTCAGTCCAAGAGGGAAGAATACTCCAGCCTATCATGGGACTTCCCACGTCCTCGCTCAACAGCGCCCCCTGGGCGCGAGCTGGCACGGCATCGTCGAGCCCGTGGTCTACGGCGCGGCCCCGAACTTCCATCGCCGAGATATGAGCTTCGACCTCGCTCGCCAACATTCAAGACTCGTGTTGTTCCACGGGCCCAAGATCTTCATTGTCCTCGGTCTCTGCCGCAATATTATCATGTTCTGGTGGGCTGCGAATGAGCGCAACGCGATTGCGCCTCCAGTGAAGGAGGTGGAGCTCATTAGTGATCGGCTGCTCGTATTTCAGCAGCCCGCTCATGCACGACGCGCACATTCCTCGGCCCCAAGAAAGGCAATACCCAGCTGTCCAGGTCAGCGCCTGCGATCGACGGATCCACGTCGACTCGCCTTGCACCGCTCTGCAAGAGTCAGCGAAGCAATTTGCAAAGTGAAATACATGCTTGCTACAATACGTAAGTGCACGGCTCGTGATCCCCCCCCCCCCAAGGCGCATGCCATTACTCTTGCTTGTCATTGCTGCGGTGCCAAAGCGGGTCGCGAATTTGCCGCCGCGCGAATTCCACTGCCCCTGGCAGCCAGTGGTCGGAACCTCCCAGTGCCACATTGCGCAGCACCGTCAGCTATCTTGGGTTCCGAACTATTTGTCTGGCTCGAGACACGTCTTCCAGCCGCCCATCCTGCCTCTGGCGAGGAGGCTGACTCTCAGCAATTCGTTCGGGCTCCGCGCAAGGTCCAGGTCCAATGGGGCGATCTGGCCCGCCCTTCATCAGGGCTGCGCCTGTGGCCTGCTTCATCGGCAGAACGTTGAAAAAGGTGTCGGTGGCGCGCTGGGCCCCCGCCTCTGCGCCATCTGCCGCGTCGCAGCTGCGCTAGGGGCCGGGTTCAGACTGCGTTGCGCATTCACCCTTCGATCCGGCTCGTTCGTCTCGTCGTCTCTTTGTGCTGTATTTGCGTTGAACCACTCGCGCAGTGCACCCGTTCCTATGACTGCACAAGCGTTATTGCACATCTCTTGGAACTCATGCAAGATGTTGAGATGGGGGCCAGTGCCGCGCGACAGCGCGGCGGGTCGAGCCAGCGGCCTCCGCCCGCCGCTTCAATCCCGACGCGGCGACGGCCCCCGTCTGCCAAGCGCGCTGTCGCGATTGGCGCACCGACGGGAAGTAGCCGGGCCTCAATAGCGACGCAGCGCGCCACTCCGTTGGCCGCGCCCTCCCGCAGGGCGAGCCTGTGCGTTGTGATTGTCGCTGCCGCCAGGTCGTCCACCCCTATTATGCTGGACCTTCTTGCTGCCGTTTTTCGCGGGATCCCTGGGCCCGTCCTTTGCCTTGGCTGGCCCGGCTGATCCAGCTGATCTTCCTGCCCGCGCAGTCGGCCCCTTTGCGCGGCGCCGCCGCTGGGCCTGCGCGATGCTGCGCCGCGTGGCCTCGGCGCTCTCCTCGTCGGTTGGCCTCGACCCCGCGGGCTCGACGCGCAAGGCCGTCTGGCCGCGCTGCGGGATGCGACCACTTGGCAAACTCAGCGAAACACCTACCAGCTCCCTCTACTGCCCGATAAACGCAGTCAAGCACTGCGCGTCGACCGCCGGGAACTCTTCGACAGGGGCGCTGGCTTGTGATCGCAAGTTTCTTAATATAGGACGCTGTCGGCAGAATCCATGCGCTTGAGCTGCCTGCGCCGCTGCAGTGCCGGGCCGTTTTTGCGCGCCTGCTCGCCGCTCTCTGTCTCCACTTAAGCGTCGCACTAGGGTGGCTTTTCAAGGTCCACGTCGGCTGGATGCTCCGGCGCCGTGGCCGCAGAGCGCGATTGCCGCTGTCGCGCTGCGCAGCTGATCATCGAAGGGCCTGCGCTAGGGGAGTGGGGCGCCAAAGGAAAAGCGTTGACTGAGCGGTCTCTTCCCGAGAGCTCCTGGACAGCGTTTCCTAGCATTTCGAAGCCGCGCAGAAGAAAGAGGAGGAGGAGGAAGAGGAGGAGGAGGAGGAGGAGGGGGGGGGGAGGAGGAGAAGGAGGAGGAGGAGGAGAAGGAGGAGGAGGAGGAGGAGGAGGAGGAGGAGGAGAGGAGGGGGATGGGAGGGAAGAGGAGGAGAGGGGGAAGGAGTGGAGGAGGAGGGCAACGAGGAGGAGGGAGAGCGGAGGAAGAGATAAATATAGGAGAGGAGCAGAGGAGTGGTCATCCCCAAGATGGCCCAACATGGCTCCAAGATCGCTCCAAAGATGGCCTCCGCGATCCACGATCGCTCCCAAGATGGCCTCCACGATGGTTCAAAACAGCCCAACATGCCTGAGGATGGCTCCCAGTGTGCTCAAAGAGGCCCGATGACTGGGGGCCTGAACGCAAAGCGTATGATATTGTGTCTGACTCGGTACATATGCGTGGGCGCGCGAAGCGTCCTGGATATGATCAAGTGCAAGAATGCCCGACATATGGGAAGCAAGCAACAAGCATTTGAGAGTTCGTTATCTCTGTCTCGCCGCCGTCGCTGCCCCTGTAGCTTCGAACGAAGGTCAGTCGAATGAGTGCGGCCCTGAGGCCGCCTACAACGTCATCCCCAGTGTGTGTCGTGGGGACTATTTACCTGGTCTCTGTAAACGAAGCACAAACTAACGCAACCTTCGCGCAACTCTATCGACCTGAACATTCTAGAGCAGGCGGCAACCCACAGCCATCAAGAGCATTGCAGCAATGCATGCGCGGCGGCGCGATTGGCAACACCACGTCGCCAGGCCTACCCGTGGAAATCGAAGCCGCTCCTGGGGTAAAGTCCCAGCCAAAGTTTAAGTCGATTGGAGCGGCCTTGCTTCGCCCTACCACCCTGGCAATTATTCGACAGAGCGGGAGTCATCTGGCTCTGTAAATAGCAGCCGCACACGATGCAAATGGTGACCGACTTGCAAGACCTCATCGTGTGAGTAGGGTTCGCGGCGCGGTAGATATGTTGCCAGTGCCCCTCAGGTGGCGGACCATCGATGAACGCACGGTGGCCCCACGGCGCATTCGCAGGCCAGCCATCTGCGTTGGCCTGGGCCGGGGCTGGGGGCAGCGCGGCAGGCAGCCTGGCAGGCCCTGCGGCAGGACCTGGCGCACCACCATCAGGGTCACCCCCGAAGTCCACGAACGAATCCTCTTCATCACTGTGGCCATCGTCAGGCTGGTCAGGCTGAGCAGCAGGGGCAGGAGCACCGTCCTCAAGAAGCGGAGCGCCAGCACCAGCAGGAAGCCACGGGCGACCAGCGCGATGGAGCAGAGCATCGCAAGGCCCTGCCCGCTCACGGACTCCACGAAACATGATGCGGTATGGTTGAGGAGAGCGGCTGCGGTTGCCGCGGTTGCCATCCGAAGCCATTGCTGCGAGAGTGAGCAGAGAAACGCCGTCCTGGCCTCGCAGCGAATAGCCACTGCTAGAGTCAAAATGACTGCGGACAGCAGCTGGAATTGCAAGGTTTTGGCAGGTTTTGGATGGGGAGTGGGAAGAGGAGAAGGGGTAGGAGGAGGAGTCGAGGGATGGCGGGGATGATGGAACGGCAGACGGGGGCCACGGGTAGCGGGTAGTTGCTCCACTTAGCGGGGGAGTGAGATAAGGACGGTGCGATCCACGCCCTCTGCGAGGCGCAGCAGGCGCGGCTTCTCGGCCCGACGACCCCGCCGCCCCCGTCGCCCCCCCCCAAAAAAAAAAAGAAGAAGAAGAAAAAAACAACTGGCTCAAGACGGCAACCTTGGGCCCACGAGGGGCCCAAACGAGCTCCAAACCATCGCCCTCGTCTTCCATCCCTTCTCGTTCGTACTCGATTCATTCGGATCCTCGCATCATGTCTCGCGAGGCCTTCGGTCCGCTGGGGTATCCTGGTATCAAGTGATTGCTCCTCCCCCATCCGCCCCCTCTCCTCCTCTTCCTCCTCGCCCTCCTCCTCCTCCTCCTCATCCTCCTCCTCATCCTCCCCCTCATCCACTTCTCATCTTGCTCACCCTCCTCTCCCTCCCATCCCGCTCCGTGGCAATATTGGTTCGGTGCTCCGTAGCTGTTTTACACTACCTGAGTTGAAGTAAATCTACCCAGCCAAGCCTCGACTGATGGCTGGTGGGCGGCAGCGCTACGTTGTCCACGCATGCACAGCTCGCGCGCACTGACTCCTGAGACTCGGAGCAGACCTTGGCGCCCTCCAAACCCACATGAAAGGGGCGCCCACTAGAAGCGCGAGCTATACCAATCCTAAAACTACCAAGCGCAGGAATCAATTCATCTTCGCTTTGAAAAGCGAAGCTGGGCAGGCAGGCTCGCTCTAGACGCCAGTTCTGGGTTCGCCATTCGAATTGATTGCCTGTGTTAGGTGGCCTTGGGCCGTCGTGGCATCCTGAACAGGCGTCATGAGGTGCGCGGAAAAAACTCCAAGCAGCCTAAATCGCCCCGCCGAGCGCTGCTGAGCCTTCCCTCAGCGATGCAGCCACGGCACGCGCGCCCAGTCTTGAGGGGGGCCCTTCCTGGGCTTCGCCTCAGAAGTGCCCTTGGCTTCGACGGGGTCGACCTTTATCTGCCCGAAAGCTGCGCCTCGCGCCGGGATGATGTCTTTGCCGTCGTCGGCCCCCTTGACGCTGAAGTCGGGATTGGGGGCGAGCTCGTGCATGGTGACGGGCGCTTTGATCGAGATCGGCTTGCCATTGAGACCGTGCGTATATGGCATCATAAGCTTGCTCGCCGCGCACTCCATGGACGGAATCTTCTTCTTCGCCTTGCCGTCGGCCGAAGTAGGTGGAAACTTAACCATCCACGCAGGGCAGAAACCAAAGGACGACTTGAACGAATCATAGCCTTTGGATGACAAGTCGAACGTCTGTCCAAACGCATGGCACATCCGAACAGATCCATCTGAATGGGGCCCTGCTGACACAACCGAAGAAGTTCAGCACCACATCAGATCTCAACTCCTCTGGGTAATCACACGTAAAACCGAGAACGCTTCATTGTAGAAACAAAATATGTCTTTCAGAACAGCCCCGCCTTGGATTTTCATCGTTTGGCCTAAAATGGAGCTTGATGGGGCCACTGGAATCTCCCAGACTCCCAAACCACCTTGCCTCCTCCACGTTCCTCCGTCTCCTCTGGACTCCCCCCCCCCCCCCCCCCCCCTCCTTCTCTCACTCCTCCTCCTCCTCCTGCTCCTCCTGTTCCTCCTATTGATTGTCCTCCTCGTCCTCCTCCTCCCCCTCATCCTCCTTCTCCCCCTCCCCCTCCCCCCCCCCTCCTCCTCCTCCTCCTCCCCATCCCCCTCCTTCTGTGGCGTTTGTACTGGCGCGCCGCCGCCTTGACCTTCAGCTCGGGGGCCCTCTCGTTGACGTCCGCGGTGATGATGTCGAGCCCAACGTCCACCGCCATGGCCTTCTCCTCGGAGTCGTCGGTGTCATCCTTTTCGCAGTGGTCTTTTTTCGGCGGCGCAGCCCTGCCGAGCATGCCAGCGTCGAAGACGAAGCGCTCCAAGTGTTTCATGAACGAAGCGATGTGCGGAGCCTCAAACTCACCGACCGCCCACTTCGCACGTACCTTGGACAGCGCCATCACGGCGCGCCCCACTTGGACATCGGTCTTCTTGTCGGCATCGTCTTGCTTGTACTGCTTCTGGTCGGGCTGCGCAACCGGCTGCGCGGCGGCCTCGGCGACAGTCTGCGCGGGCCCGATGGTCTCGACGCCCCCCCCATGCAGTTGAATTCCTTCAAGCCCTTGTCCGACGCAGCTGCCGTCAGCAAGCTGTTCCAAGACGAAACCCACTGGTCGTCGTCCAGCGCAAGATCACGCGCAGCGACGCGGGCGGCGTTGGCCTCGAGCTGAACCACGGCGCGCGAGTCCAACCCGCCCACGGTCTGAATCAGCTTGACCGCGCACTGGGCGCGAAGGCTGAGGAATGACTTCGCCGAGGGGGCGTCGGCGAAGGGCAGAGAATGCAGGCGCGTCGGCCTCCGAACCAGCCATCTTGATCTCGCTCATCAGCGCGCGGCCGAAGTGGGACCGCTGGTCGTCAAAGTTGTCGAGGATGACCTCCTGGACCATGCGCGTGACATTGTCAATCTTAGAATCGGCAGTGCTGCTGGAACCACTCGCGTCAGCGCTCGGCCCTGCCCGCTTCGACTGCGACGCCGCGACGCAAACGGCCTGGCACATGCTCAGATAGAGGGGTTGCTCCTCCAAGTCGGCAGCAGATGCGCCCCGGCACACGCGGCAAATGCCCGCGATGAACTTCCCGTCGTCAACGAATGGGCGCAGTGCCACGGGCACATTCTCATCGCCCATCGCCATGTCATTATGCGGCAGATCTTGTTGTGCGAAGGCATCGAGGGCTTCCAAGATAAGCGTCGCATGTTCCGCACCACCGGGGGGGCTGTCCGTCGCCAAGAAAGCCCTGTGCGCGCGAATGATCTCACCCCGAAACTCTTTGCGAAGAGGGCTCCACTCACGGAAGACCTGCCCGTTGAAGTTCACCTGCCCGCCCCGGGCAAACGCCGGGCCAGTCTTGAAGCAAAGCGCCAAGCACGCTTTCTGGATCACGTTCCCGTTCCCACTGCTGCGCTCCTGCAAGGCCGTCAACGGCTGCGTGATGCAGCGCGCGAGGTCGTCGAGGAATAGCGTCTGCCTGGAGCCCTTCGCGCCCTCCGCCGCGTCTGGCTCACCTTCGGTCGGTCCTGTAGTCGCAGTGGAGCCTTGGAGCACCTCGTCGGCGACGTTCAGCGTTGGCGAAGCCATCGCCTTCCCTTTCGCCTTCGCCTTCTTCATGGGCTGCACCTTCGCCACAGCGCCAGACCTCTTGAAGCCCGATGCTTTCAGGTAGACCTTGCTGGAGCTCATCGGCGCCTTGATGTTCCTAATCTTCTGGATGCCCTGGTTCGTCTTGAAGATCCAGCGCGGTTCCTTGCTGCCGTCGCTCTCCATGGGCGCCGCGAAGTCCAGCGCTTCAACGAGGATCATGTGGAGCGTGTCGATCTCGATTGCGCCGCTGAGGTGGATGATGATATGAGTGAAGAGCTGGTTGCACGCCTTCGCGACAACCTCGTTGGTGATTCCGCGCCTCAGGAAGTCGCAGTGGGATTCCATCCTGGATTTAAAAGCTGGCCATAGACAAGCCTTGTCCATCTTCCCCTTGAAAGCGCAGCGCTCGCCATAGTGGCCCAAGATTTGAACGTGGTAAAATGCTTCGCCACAAAATCAGCACAAAGACTTTCATATATGTATTTGCCCGTCTTGGGGCACCCCTCCTTGGTCATCTCGTTATCCATCATGTGCTGCCTCCATGCTACGACCGTGTCCTCAGTGGTGTCCAATAGCTCAATGAATGTTGAAGCGCTTCCATCATGAAATTCATTGTGCGCAGTCTTGACCAATTTCTGGATGGCCCTGGGCGCGTCGTGCCTGAAGCACATCGCGTTCTCGAGGCCGATATCGATGATGTCTTGGACGTGCTGGTTCGCCCCAAAGGGCCCAAGAGGCTCTAATCAAACGGGTTCGCTTGATGAGACCCTGAAGGGCCCTCTTGGAGCCCTCATGGGGCCCTCTGGGCTCTCCTCCTCAGCCTCCCCCTGTTCCTACTCCCCCTCCTCCTCCTCCTCCTCCTCCTCCTCCTCCCCCCCCTCGTCCAGAGCATATGAACGGAACCAAACAAAGTCCCCCCCCTCCTCCCTGGGGCCGGCATTGGAAGGGGGGGTCCAGCACCAAGGGGTGTGGATTTAATGGTTGGGGACTGTTCAATTGCAAGTGCAGCGCATGCAGTGCCATGCATCGAGGGCTACTGAATGAAATCCTTAATTTCCGCTGCTTGATAGGCCTATGCGGGGTCGTGTCGTTTTCGCTGTGCGTTCGGGTCTCGGGGCTGGACGGATCTGGCAATTGGCGAGGGGCACTGCCCGCGCGCAAATCTAGGTTGGAGTGCAAGCGACACAAGTACTGGAAGCGCACGCCAACAATAGATAAGCACACGGAGTTGACTGCTTGCGAGGCGGCAACTTGCCGTCGTCGGCCTTGCAAGCCCAGGCTCTCGCGAGATCGACAGAACGACGACTGCACGCCAAAGTGCACGGCATCTCCTTCGGCAGGGACATTGTTGACTGTCAGCAACTCTGCCCATGAAAGCCATCTGGGATGTTCAGAACTCCACATTGTTGTTTTGCCTTTGCGCAAGGAAAAAACCGTTCTTATCGCACGTGCGCCAAGGCTTGTCATCGGGGCTCTGCCCCACGCAACAAACGCCAACGTTGGTCATCACCCAATTCTTTGCCAACGCATCCTTCTCAGCAGCAGTGGGCGCACCATAGAACAGAGAGCCGTCTGGGCGAATGCTGCAGTGGCGCTGCGAAAGAGCCAACGGCGCTCCACGCTCGCGCCTGTCATGCCTCGACCTGGCCCATTCCAGCTCCTCGACAGCATCACTGCATTGGCCATTGAAATAGCTGCGCCAATCGTATTTGCAGCACCTGCGGTACTTGGCATGGAACTCATCCCACTGGGGCAAACTGCTCACGGGATGTAAGATACATGCTCTCTTGTGTATCAACCACGTCCATCTTGATTTCCTTGAATACGCAGTGCCAAAAGCATCTGCCGAGAGCGATGCCGCCCCTGCTACGATGTATATGTCGTCCAACATGCTGCGCAACAAATCTAGGGAATATCCCCCGCTACTGTCGCGACTGTGATGGGGCACAACGTCTTCCTGTAACGGAAAGCGTTGCCCTGCCCACGCAAAGCTATTCAGAACCCCATCTGGGCGATCACCACTTGCGTGGGGATGGTTGGAGAGGTTGAATGCTACATGCAGTTTTTTTTTTTTGTTAGCTGGCACTCTCTATTGTGCTCGGTGCAGTATGCACAACGCTCCATTGCAGTTCTTCTGGTGAAAACATTACGCGTATCGTTGTAGCTCATAGTCTTTGACGCTGATATGATACGGCTTCTCAAGACCTGGTTGATACAGCATCTGATATCTCCAAACCAGCATTCCGATTTCAGGAGCAAGGTTGTGTTCGAAATTATTGTCCTCGTTATAATCAAGCGACCACAAATGTGTCCATCGGCATTCGGTAGCTAGCAACGCAGAAAAGGTAACGCAGTCTGTGTAGTGAGCCTGCTCAGCACAACCAGTACCCGAGAAGGAAGAACTCAACGAAATGTGCTTCGCTGCATTACATAAGTGGGCAACCGAGAATTTATCACCCAGCGTGTCTAACGACGCGGCGAAATAATGTGCTGCAAAGTGGTCGGCATCAAGTGGCGATCGCACATCGCGCGCATGGTTCGGTGCGCGAGCCATGCGCGATTGAGCCAATACTGCTACGTAGAAGTTCAAATGTCCATGGTATTGTTTACGATCTGCACAAACTTTCACACGCACACATACACGCCTGATCAATCGGATATCAGTTCAGACGCCCACCGGCAACCATGACTTCTTCAGGCACTCCGAAACTGATTCTGAAGTGAAATATATGATTATGAGATGGTGTCGATATCCACAGTGCGCTGAGGAGTTGGACTCCTGAGCTCGCCCCTGCACTCAGGAGTTGCTCATGAGCTTCACCTGCTGCTCAGGAGCTGCTCCTGGGCTACCACGCGCGCTCAGGAGTAGCTCCTGAGCCCACCTTGTGCTCAGGAGTGGCTCCTGAGCTCGCCCTGTTCTCAGGAGTGGCTCCTGAGCTACACCTTGTGCTCAGGAGTGGTTCCTGAGTTACCCTATGCGCTCAGCTCCTGCGCTCACCTTGCGCTCAAGAGTGGCCCCTGAGCTCACCGTGCACTCAGGAGTGGCTCCTGAGCTCACCTTGCGCTCAGGAGTGGCTCCTGAGCTGTGCCCTGCGCTCAGGAGTGGATCCTGAGCTGCACCCTGCGCTCAGGAGTGGATCCTGAGCTCCACCACATGCTCAGGAATGGCTCCTGAGCTACCACTGCGCTCAGGAGTTGATCCTGAGCTATACAGCGTGCTCCGGAGTAGCTCCTGAGCTCCACCCTGCGCTCAGGAGCTGGCCCTGAGCTTCACTGCGTGCTCAGGAGCTGGTCCTGAGCTCCATCGTGCACTCGGGAGTGGATCCTGAGCACTACCTTGCGTTCAGGAGCTGATCATGATCCCAACTGTGCGCTCAGGAGTGAGCGCACTGGAGTTAGCATAACGTGCTTTACTGATCATCATCATCATCATCATCACCATCAACATCATCACCATCATCAGTGTCATCATCATCATCATCGTCATCATCATCATCATCAGCACTATCGCCATCAGCATCCCTAACATCCCTCACCATTCTGCCCCGTCCATGTGTCCCCGCCCCCTTCTGAGCTCATCCTCCACATCCCTTTCGGCTCGTGTGCCCGAAAGCGGTTGACGGGCCCGCGCGACCCCCTCTTGGGGAAGCATGATCAGGAGTTGTGTTTTTATGTCGCTTCTGGGTCCTCTTGGCGCCCTCTGGTGGCCCGCCCCCCCCCCCCCCCCCCCCCCCCCCCCCCCCGCGCGGCGTTAGGAGCAGGGGCAGCAATCGGAAGAAAGGTGAGGCGCATGATGGGGGTGGAGGAGGACGAGGAGGAGCAGGAGGAGGAGCAGGAGCAAGAAGAGGAGCAGGAACAGGAGGAGGATGCCGTAGCAAGTTTGGCTCAATCTATGTTGCCCCAGGACTCTGCTCAGAAGCCAAGCCAACATCATCAATCAACTCCTGCGCCCCTACTCATCCCAGAAGCAACAACAAGAGAGAGCACATCGCAGCCTCGATGGCTTCGCATAGAGTCGCCCCAGCGATCATCTGGTGCAGCTTTGCGCTCGGAAAGCCGTTGCCATCTCGAGGCTGCGTCTCAATCGCGATAGGCTGCCCCCTTCATCTGAGCAAGTGCCCCCCGCTCGATGATCTTCTTCGCATGCGCGCTCACGGTGTGGTCCTGCATCCGAGAGTTGTTCGGAGAACGCTGCAAGTTGCGAGCTATGTCCCCCCCATCTCCGCGTTCGAGCACCATCAGAGTCTTGTGGGGCTCGATGCAATAGACTTGCATTAGCCTTCTCCAGCGCCTGGCACCATTAAGATCTGCAAACAGAGACTCGGCCGTAGCGTTTTCCATATAGAACCGCATGTCCAATGCTGGCTGCGCGGGCACACTCATCGCTGAAACGCGTGGGGCTCGGCGTCGAGTGAATTCCAACGTTGATTGACTGCTGTTGGCCTCTGGTGCCCCAGATGTCGCTCGAGCCAAAAATGCCGATCGGAACGCGTGTCGTTTCAGTTGTGATTTGTCATGTCGTTTGCCAAGGGCCCCAATCAACAGTTCGAACTATGCGCGCGTCGCCGCGCCGCGAGCTCTTCGACGTCCGCGAGGGCCCATCCAGCGCAAGGTGCATGCACCCTTGTGTCTGTTTCTGTTCCCCCCCCCCCCCCCCCCCCGCATCCAAAGTGGGGGTTCTTGTTTTCTCGGCACACCCCGCGCAGGAACACTCACCCCACCCCCTCTCCTCTTCTGCCTTCGCACACTCACTCACTCACTCATGATCATCACCACTCACTCACACTCGCACTCACTCACACTCTCTCATCATCAACATCAGCATCATCACTCGCGCTCTCTCACGCGCTCAGTCACTCACATACTCATCATCATTATCATCATCATCACTCGCACTCTGGCACACGCTCACTCATTCACATACTCACCTGGAGGAAGTCTCAGGCGGGAGTTCGTCTGTGAGTGAATTGTGCGGAAGTCTCAGGCGGGAGCCCCCTCCCGATGGGGCCCGCAGATCATGTTGGTAATCCGAGCGGGTCATCCAAACCATGTAACTGTCGTCACTTTTGGGCTCCTCAAGCTTGAGTACGGAGGAAGTCTTAGGCGGGAGCCTCGTCTGTGAGTGAATTGCGAGGAAGTGACAAGCGGGAACCCCTCCCTATGGGGCCCGCGCTTCATGTTGGTAATCCGAGCGGGTCATCCAAACCTTGTAACTGTCGTCACTTTTGGGCTCTTCAGGCCTGAATTTGGAAGAAATCTCAGGCGGGAGCCTCGTCTGTGAATGAATTGTGCGGAAGTCTCAGGCGGGGGCCCCCTCCCTATGGGGCCCGCAGATCATGTTGGTAATCCGAGCGGGTCATCCAAACCTTGTAACTGTCGTCACTTTTGGGCTCCTCAAGCTTGAGTACGGAGGAAGTCTCAGGCGGGGGCCTCGTCTGTGAGTGAATTGCGAGGAAGTCTCAGGCGGGAACCCCTCCCTATGGGGCCCGCGTTTCATGTTGGTAATCCGAGCGGGTCATCCAAACCTTGTAACTGTCGTCACTTTTGGGCTCTTCAGGCCTGAATTGTGAGGAAGCCTCAGGCGGGGGCCCCCTCCCTATGGGGCCCGCAGATCATGTTGGTAATCCGAGCGGGTCATCCAAACCGTCTAACTGTCGTCACTTTCGGGCTCTCGCGCTGCCAGAACGCCATTCCCGGGCCACATTGTGCATGCCCGGAGCCAACTGTAGGCCACTTCGTGTTCTTCGTGTTCCCAGAACACCATTCCCGGGCCACATTTTGAAACCCCGGAGCCAACTGTAGGCCACTTCGTGTTCTTCCTGCTCCCAGAACACCATTCCCGGGCCACATTCTGGATGTCCGGAGCCAACTGGAGGCCACTTTGTGTTCGTCGTGTTCCCAGAGCGTCATTCCCGGGCCACATTTGTGAATTTCGAATCCGAGGAGGGTCCTCGGAATTCGTATGCCTGTCGTCACTTTTGGGCCCCCGCGGCCTGAATATGGCTGTCGCGGGCCTGCTTGCTCCAAAGGGCGACTGAGGAGCTGACGACGACGACGACGAGACAGCGGCCGGGCGCAGGGGTAACCTCTTGTGTCCGGGCCGGGGGTGGTGACCCATCCTCGGCCGAATCGGGGGCAGGGGTAACCTCTTGTCTCCACCACGAGGACGAGCAGCGGCACGGGGAGTGCTCGGCAGGCCAGCTCTTTCGCCCCCGCTTCCTACCGCAGGGAATCTGGCTGCAGGTGCACGGCTTCAAGGAGTCTCCGATCTACCAGGAGGTCGCCGAGGTGCTGCGACAGGGCGCCGAAGACGCCGACGACGACGGCCAGGCCGAGGCGCGGGCGCGGAGTTTGCTGATGTTCAGGCCCAGCGAAAAAGAGTTCACATGGCAGAGCTCGGGGCCGCACATCGTGCGCCGCTCGGGGTTCACCCTGACCCGCGCGTCCTACCTGACCTCCACGCTGTCGCAGGGCCAGACGCTGCGCAAGGGCGTCACCATCGACTGCGCGAGAGACGAAGACGCTGGCCGCACGGGCATGTCTGGCGAGCAGTGGTGGCTGCACCTCTACGTCATGCCCTCCCGCGCCACGTGCATGCGGAACATGCTGATCCTGCGGCCGCCGCCACGGGAGTTCCTGGAGCGAGGGCCGCCAGCGTCCTTGCGGAAGGCGCTCCTGGAGTTCGACAAGAGAGCGGTTTTGTCCAGGGCGGAAGCGAAGCAGCTCGCGGCAGAGCTGGGCTTCGCGCTGCCCTCCTGAGCGCGGCTGCGCCCCGCTCGAAGCCCGCGGGGTTGTCCCAGCGGCTTGGTCTTGCGCGCAAGCGGCTCGCGGGGTTGTCCCGACAGCCTGGCCCGCGGGGTTGTCCCAACGGCTGCGCGACGTGGCCATTAGAGAACGCGCCTGTGCTGGCCGAGGCGGCGACGGCGCCGAGGAAAACCGACATGCGCGCTCGTGCAATGGAAAGGCGAGGCGGTGGCGGGGCGCGAAAAAAATCGGAGGGCGAGGTCGGGGGCAACGTAGGGAGCGGGGGGGGGGGCCCGCGCCAGGGCGAGAAGAAATATACGCAGAAGAGACAGTCAGGACGCCTCACCAACCACGAGGACGACGGTGAGCGCTTTTTCCAGATTCGCCCAGAGGATTCTCATGTGGGGTCCTTCCGTCGGAGTGTTTTTTTGGTAAGCCATGTTGCCGTCGGAAGGCTCTTGTGCCATGTCGCGCGCCCTGTGTGCAATAACACGCCTATATACGTTTTTATATGCATGTGCACGCATGTATTCGAGGTTATGTGCGCGTGGGGGACCTCTTGCATGATGGCTCCAAGATGGCTCCATGACGGCCCCGACACGTTTGGGCCTGGGCAGGGCAACCGAGAAAAGAGACGAGAGAGGTGCTCGCCCTCGAGAGTTGATGAGGGAGGAGTTGGGCAATATCAGTACTGTTTGCTGGATGTCGCATCAGCCGAAAATTCAATTCCCAGGTACGATCGCCTTGCATAGCGAGCAAACGCATCGATTCCGACTGGCCCGAATGAATTCACCGGGCATTGTAAACTTGTTGGCCCGCTTATTTGCGACGCCAGCTGCGGGGCCCGAGCACGCGCGCAACAGATCTGCGCGGCAGCGAGCGTGGAAGAAATGCGATCATACGCAGCACCTGATCCTATCCCCGCCCTCGTCAGACCCCTTCCTGCAGCACAGGCGCCCCCCAAGGACAAGTCGATCACCTTCAAAGGCATTCAACAAAGCAGTCCGCCACATAGCAAGGAGCCTCAAGATACCTCCCCCAATTCTCGGGCGAGGGTTGATCTTGCTGTCGCGCCCCCCCTGCCCTCCCACCCCTTCCCAGCAGCGCATTAAGCACATGCGAGTCTACCTATCAGAAGCACTGAGAACTGGAGCGGGGTGCTTGCTATGCCCAACGTGATTGCACGCCTGCCCTGACTCTGCCCCAACCCGCTGCCCCTCCTTCACTCTCTAAACGCCCACGTTCGGGTGAACCACGGTGCACTCGCACTCCGAAAAACGTTTCCACTGCTGTCGGAGAGCGCCCCCATCCTTGGGGGCGTAGTGCACTCCAACCTGATATACAGCAGCACTGAAAGCACCCACTCGTAATGCAATGCCAGACAGTGCCTCGTCAGGTGGGTTAAACTCCCAGTGCACTAGCGACACTTCTCGCCGACCAGTATCACGGTTCATATATGCAACAATAGCGAGGCTCCCACGTGCAGCTGCCAACGCTGGGCGCATTCCGCCCGCAAGCAACCCGGAGCTCTCTGCCGGTAAATCACACGAGTCATTGAACGCAGACGTCCATGATTTATACGCAGACTTACACTGCCCAATGAACGCATGGTCGAACACTGGATCAACTGCAGCGGCAATGGCATCCGCGATGTGTGCATCTTCAAGTTTGACGCCTTCGCCCCCCCCGTCTCCTCCGCCGCCTCCACCTCCGCCCGCCTTTCCAACCCCGCCCCCACTTGCAGCGACTGTCTCTGCTAGAGTGGCCGATCCCTTCGACTCGTCATCTTCGTGGACTGCTGAGACATCGGGATCAACTAATGAGCCCAGCACGTCAATATTTGGAAGACGATCCCCAACTGCCGCCTCATCAACTATAGCCTGCGAGCTGGGTGGAAAGCCCATAGCCAAGAGGCGAAGGAAGGGGGGGCGACGGAGGAGGAGGAGAAAGGAAGCCTGTCATTCATCTCCATCTCCTGCTGGCTCCAAGTCCAGTGTAGCAGGCGCGGCTGCTGGTTTCTTTTTTGGAGGCTTCCTCTCAATGGGGCATCTCTCTGTCATTGTCAAGATGTTACATCTGTCGCAGAGCTCCAGTGATTGCGGGTGGTAGCTACACTAATCAACTTAAATCTCAGCGTGGCCGTCTTGACAAATGTGCACATACCATTTGAAAATGTCTAAAGATGAAGCGCAGTCTGCATCTTGGACTGTGGGGGGAGCTTCGCGCCGACCATTCTCAAGCGCTTTGCAGTTCACAAGGAAGCACGAGTGGCCGTGCATCATGCCAACGGCCCAGACAAGGCCCGACTCCATCGGGTGATCTATGGACATGCCTCTGATGCCACTCGTCACCTTGCAAGCCCTCAGCTGCCTGTGCCAGAGAAGAGCATGAACAGCGGCCCACTCGAGCTGTTTGGGCGAGATCTCATTCCCCAGGACGCGAGACGAACATGGCGAAGGCATCGGGTATGAGACCGGGGTCGAATGCCAATCGGGCGCGTGGAGCTCGCGCCCGCTCTTGTAGTTTTCAACTGCATCCTCTAATAAACTCTCGCAACGCTCTGATATCTGAGACAATGTCATGTCCTTGGTACACCGTGGCCCAGTTCACGCCGAATGCCGATCCTGGCAGCGATCTGGAAACTACCCCTCCCCAAACACATGTATAACATGCAGGGCCCCTGGGCCCCACCTGGTATGAAAGCATGTAGTGTTGGTCGCCCGTGGGGTCCTGGCGTCTAGTAGTGCTAAACTTATCGCCGGGGCTTGTCTACAAGCATGTTTGATCTGCTTGTTTGTGGCCCCCATCTCCTGGGAGCTAGCCGTCAGTATTTGACATGCGAGCCTCAAGGGGATCCACACCGATGGGCTAAGAGTGCCGTCGTCGGCACAGCGCTGGAGCTCCGCCCAGAGCAGCCACCGCATCTTCAAAGCGTTGATGTGTAGTTTGCTAGTGTCGGTCGACAAACTACATCTGGCAACTGATTGTCTCTCGGCACATGCACTCCCAGTGTCATTCTGCGCCAAAATCAACAACTTCCAGAGATATTCCCCTAGTGGGTGCACAACTCGACGCAAGCAGTTAGAGGAACTCAACCGAGCCAGCCGCTTTGCGAACGAGCAGCATTTCGCATAATCGCCGAGGGACACATCATCTGCGAGTTCAGTGCACTTACCCTCGACCGAATTCATCATCTTCCTGAGATCATCTGCGATTTCAGACGCTCTGTACCAAATAAGCTCCGCGAAGCGTGAAACCTGGAGCGCAAGAAACGGAGAGGGGGGAGAGGGGGGTGAGGGGCGCGGGCCCGCCTGGGGCCTGATGAGGGTGCGTTGTTAAACCCTGGGAACTGCTTCTGGCCCCACCCTCGACATCAAGAAAAAATAGAAGTGGTCGAGCGGGTCCCGAGCCACGTTGCACAATTCTATCAGAAACCCAAAAAGGTTCTGCAGTCAAGGCCTTCGAGAGCCCCCCCGCGCAATTTGGAATAATATCCAGGATGAGCTCGTTGTCATTCGGTCTGGGGGTCCTGTTGTTCCATGGGCTCCTGCTTGTCGGGGGGGCTGTTCTGGAACGTCGCTGTCCGAATCCGATCCCTTGTCTGCAATGGCGGCGATTGTTTTTGCTTTTGCTTTTGCTTTACCTTTTGTTTGTGCTGCTCCTTTTTTCTTGTTCTCATATTCTTATCGAATACTGCTCTGAGGACTGCTGCTGGCGTGTTCCACCGCGCTTTCATCGCGTGCTTCTCGCATTCAGAAACCGACCCCCACCGTTCACATATGCAGCTTGGCGGCACTTTCATAAAATGCCGCGCTTCCAGCGCGCAGTAGTTGGAACGACATGCCCTGGACAAGTCAACTGCGCACTCTCTCCACGTATTCATTAGCTTCGCTAGCGTGACAAAGTATTTCATACTGCAAGGAGAAACACACCGGCCTCCACGATTGCATCATGAACCATCAGCTGGTAAATATGCGCATGGCAATCAGCGCCCCACGCCCACGCGTGAACCTTCCTGTTCGAAGCATCGTTCAGAAGACGACGAGCGTAACTCTCATCTGGCCCCCCATCAGAACAAACTACAGACATGTGCAACAATCTCTTGACGCCCCACAAGTCAACTCGGTCGGTGGGCCAGTCCCCGCCTGCGTCGGGAGGGGCGGCGTGTCCTCCATCGACAACATCAGAAGGCTCATCAGCACCTCCACCACTCGCAACCCGCGGACTCCTCCTCCTCCTCCTCCTCCTCCCTCTCCCCCCCTTCCTCCTCCTCCTCCTCCTCCTCCTCCATCCCTCTCTCATCCTCCACCTCCGACACCACCCCCTCATGATTCAATCATATGCGTTGGCAGACCATGAGATGACGACGCAAGCATGCGGCGCAACTCTGCCCCACCCCCCATTCCCTGAGCACCGCCGCAACCGTCGTCACACAGTGCGAGAGCGCCAAGCCCGTGCCCCAGATCAACTGCTCCAATGGACGACGACTGCTTCGCAACCATGGCGTAGCATGCCTCGCCTGTGCCCTCCTTGCATGCGCGCATGAATCGCCCCCATCGAGCGCCGTGATTCAACGCCCCGCAATAATTGGAAAGCGTCAGAACTCTCGTCATAAGCAGTGGTGGTATAGTGGTAAGCCCGTGGCATCTCAACTTGCACCGCTGCCAACAACGTGAATCAGTAGCCCCCCCCCCCCCCCCCTCGCGCAAGAAGCAAAGCATTTCCATTGCGAAGGAAGTGCAGGACCGAGCAGCAAATCAAACAATCGCGCCTGGTGGAACTTACGTGAAGCACAAACAAGAGCCGCTCTCAACGAGACCTCCTTCTATGTAACGGTAGTTCCGTGCGCATCAGATTGGGGCACCAGTCCAAGAGCCCTTAGATAGCCGTGAACACGTTGAAAGGCACCCACCCTCCCCCTTCGTGGGCCCCTCTTTGGGATCCCTTGGGGCTGTCTTGGGCCGTCTTAAGGAGGGCCCTTGGACCGTCTTGGGGGCACCCTCATTCCCATTTCCCCCGATCCACCGTCTTTCCCGTCGTTTTGGGAGCCCCCCCCCCAAAAAAAAAAACGCATTGAAGACCATCTAAAACGCAGACGCAGCCCCTGAATTGCTGAGGGCCCTGCGCATGGCGACGCTCATCCCACCATGTGTAGTAAAGTGCGAACCAACCTTCTCTGCCTTCCTAAGTTTTTTCTCTCCTCGTCATCGTGGATGTCCTTGATAACATATTTTCGTTTTTTTTGTGTTTGACATTCGTTTGTTTCGTGTGTTGCTCAATTATTTATTTGGTAACATTTCCTGAGCGCTGAAATTCTAGCTTCCGCTTTAGGCAACTCTGACCGAATACCAGAAATCACAGCCTGAGCCACATCATATTGGCGCCGCAATTCTTCGCATGTAAAAGCTCTGGTGGCGGCAGCAGCTGGGTCGCCAGGGGGGGCGAAATGAATCTCCGACATCGCACTGGGAATGGCAGGCCGCACGGTCAGCCAATTGAACACTGCGCAGTCGAGGCCGAAAACGTCTGAGACGACGGTCGCAAACACATCGAGAAGATACATGTCCGTGTTCCCCGAAACCTCATGATGCTCGATGCTACCTAATGCGAGAAGGCGTTCACACTGCCTGCACAAATATCGCCTGACGTCGTAATCATCTTGGAAGTGCTCAACAAACTGGCGCAAGCCAGCTCGAGACACTGTCGCCGCGAGGGCCGCATCCCTGCTGCAGACCGAGGCAGCTTTGAAAGCTATGGTCTGCTCTAAAAAATTCATTTGGGCCAAAGGCCGACGCGCGCCAAAAAGGCTGAGGATGGAAGCAGGGGTAGGAAGAGGATGGAGGAGGCGGTAGGAATGTGTCATGTTAGTTGTCTGCAGCGCTTGAAACCATATTCCCCCCGGTGGTATATATATACATATATATATGATATGATATGATATGTGTTTTTTGAAACGTTAATAACAGCATTCGTTCGTTCGCAATCTTATAAAACCAGTTTTCTGGCATGCCATGCCCATATTGTGCGATGGCAGAAATATTCATGATGTGTGTTTTGGGAAACGTTAATAACAGCTTTCGCACGTTCACAATCTTCTTAAACCAGTTACCTGGCATGCCATAACCATATTTTGCGATGGCAGAAATATGCATGATGTGTGTTTTTGAAACATTGATAACAGCTTTCGCACGTTCGAAATCTTCTGAAACCATCTCAGGGGCAGCCCTCCTGAGCAGCACCTGGTCAACACATGAAGCCTCAAGTTCCACTCCCCTAGGCCTGCGCTGAAATCACCGTCCGTATATGTTGGGCTCTGTTGAAAGATGCTGAAGACGCGCGCTCTGTGCCCATGCCGCTCCGCGAGCTTTTCGCCTGCTGATGCGCGAAATTGCATGTCCTCCGGGAAAATGTCGGCCCGGCGCGAAGCGCGCGTGTCGAGGCGGTCGCGGCCCCCTAACCCTAATCAACGCGCCGCGCCCCGAATGGTCGATGCACTTCTGACCCCCAAAGACTGCGCTAAGTGCGCCCCCGCGTTCAACTGGGAGCCGCGCCCATGCTCGGCGCCGTCGGCCTTCGCGCCCGCCGCGGATCCGCCGTCCGCCCCGACCTCCTCCCCCGAAAAACTTGCCCCGCACAGTTACTCCTCCGCACCGTCACTTCGGTCGTCCAGCTCATATCCCCCGCTGGCGGCGCTTTGGGATGCCTGGCCAAGCTCGGGCCCAGCTTGCCCGCGAAGCGCTTCTCGCGCGCGCAGGAGGCCATTCCGCCCAAGGCGGCTTCAACAGTGCAGGCTGTGAGCATGAGCTCCCTTGCTGGCCTAAGCGCCACTGGTGCCCCGAGACATGATCGACCCACGAACCCGGAAAGGCGTGTAGAAATGCAAGCCATGGCATTGCCCCCAAGA